AGGTTTTCAATATTTTGTTACTTTTATTGATGATTTCTCTCGTTGTACTTGGTTATTTTTAATGAAAAATCGTTCCGAGTTGTTTTCTATATTCCAAAACTTTTATCATGAAATTAAAAATCAATTTGGTGTCTCTATTCAAACTTTTCGAAGTGATAATGGCCGTGAATATCTTTCAAACTCGTTTAAACAATTTATGGCTTCTCATGGCATTCTTCATCAAACTTCCTGTGCTTATACCCCTCAACAAAATGGGGTGGCTGAGCGCAAGAATAGACACCTTATTGAAACAACCCGTACTCTTTTAATTCATGGTGAGGTTCCTCAACATTTTTGGGGTGATCTTGTTCTTACTTGCTGTTATCTTATTAATCGTATGCCCTCTTCGGTTTTAGATAACAAAATTCCCCATTCTATTTTATTTCCTCATGACACTCTCCATCCTTTACCTCCGAAGGTTTTTGGGTCTACCTGTTTTGTCCACAATTTTGATCCTGGTCATGATAAGTTATCTCCTCGATCACACAAATGTGTTTTCTTAGGATTTACTCGATCCCAAAAAGGATACAAGTGTTTTTCTCCTTCTCTTAATCGCTATTTTGTGTCTGCAGATGTCACCTTCAATGAGTTTTCCTTTTACTTTAAGGACCCTTCCCTACCTGCTGAGTCTCCATCTCGCTACAGTTCTCATTCCTGTTCTCATTGATCCTTATGTTGAGGACCATCCACCATTAGCCCCTCCTCCTCCACCACCCCTTCGGGTTTATAGTCGCGAGACCTCGCCCACAACAGACGCCACATGACTCACTCCCGGTGCCAAATACTCGCCTCCTCCGGTTCGAGTCCACGAGTCGACCTTCCTATTGCTCTTCGTAAAGGTACGCGTTCTACTCGTAATCCTTCTCCACATTATACTTGCTTTAAGTTATCATCGAATTTCTTCACCATTTTATACCTGTCTCTCGTCTATTTCCTCTGTGTCTATTCCTAAATCGTCTCTAAAGCCTTAGCCCACCCTGGTTGGCGTCGAGGCCATGCTAGATGAACTCGGTGCTCTTCGGACTAGTGGAACCCGGACGCTTGTCCCATTACCATCTCGGAAAATGCTGTTGTTGGTTGCGGGTGGGTCTTCGCTATCAAGGTTGGTCCTGATGGTACTATTGATCGCCTCAAAGCTCGCCTTGTAGCCAAAGGCTATACCCAAATTTTTGGGTTGGATTATGGTGATACTTTCTCTCCGAGTGGCAAAGATGGCTTCGTTCGTTTATTCATTGCCATGACTCGCTATTCAACAATGGCCTCTTTATCAACTTGGATGTCAAAAATGCTTTCTTGAATGGCGATTTGCAAGAAGAGATTTATATGGAGCAACCTCCGGATTTGTTGCTCAGGGGAGTCTTCTGGATTGGTATGTCGTCTTCGCAAATCTTTATATGGCCTAAAACAGTCTCCTAGGGCCTGGTTTGGAAAGTTTAGCGACGTTGTTCAACAATTTGGCATGACTAGAAGTGAGGCGAGACCACTCGGTCTTTTACAGTCACTCGAATGCTTTGGATGTATCTATTTGATAGTGTATGTCGATGACATTGTTCTTACAGGTAGTGACCATCATGGCATCTCTCGGATGAAACAACACCTTTGCCACCATTTTCAAACCAAAGATCTTGGCAAACTCGGATATTTCTTGGGTATTGAGGTAGCACAATCTACAGATGGCATTGTTATATCTCAAAGAAAGTATGCATTGGATATTTTGGAGGAAGCTGGGTTGATGAATTCAAAGCCTGTTGACACACCCATGGATCCTAATACCAAACTCTTGCCAAATCGGGGGAGCCAATGTCGGATCTCGAACGGTATAGAAGATTAGTTGGAAAATTAAATTATCTTACAGTTACTCGCCCTGACATTTCCTTTGCGATCGGTGTGGTGAGTCAATTCCTCAATTCTCCTTGTCAAGATCATTGGAATGCGGTCATCCGTATATTGAAGTACATCAAAAAGTCTCCTGGAAAAGGTTTGGTGTATGACTCTCATAATCATACAAGAGTTGTCCGCTATTCGGATGCTTGATTGGGCGGGATCTCCCTCGATAGAAGATCTACATCTCGGGTATTGTGTTTCCATTGGTGGTAACTTGATCTCATGGAAAAGTAAGAAACAAAGTGTTGTGGCAAGATCCGGTGCGAAGCGAGTATAGAGCTATGGCCTCGGCTACCTGTGAACTTATTTGGCTCAAGCAATTGCTTAAAGAGCTACAATTTGGAGATGTCACTCAAATGACACTAGTGTGTGACAATCAGTCTGCTCTCCATATAAGCTCTAATCCTGTCTTTCATGAGAGGACTAAACACATTGAGATTGACTGCCATTTTATTCGGGAAAAGATTATGTCTAGAGACATCAAGACTGAGTTCGTTAACTCATGTGATCAGTTAGCAGATATTGTCACTAAGTCTTTACGGGGACCTAGGATGGATTATCTTTGTACCAAGCTAGGCACATACGATTTGTATGCTCCGAGCTTGAGGGGAGTGTTAGATATGATTAGATATTAGTTGATATTGTTTGATATTGTTGAGATATTGTTAGATATTGTTAATCACAATATCAAATAATATCTTTTTATTTACTCTATTTGTATTCTGTTACTCTTTTGAGGAGTACCTTTCTTTATTATAAATACACTGCCCTATGTGTGGTAAATACATAAGGGAAATTAACCCTATACAGTTTTTCCCTATATTCAACAGATATCAAGAATGCTTTCTTGCATGGTGATCTTGAGGAGGAAATTTATATGGAGCAACCTCCTGGTTTTGTTGCTCAGGGGGAGTCTAGTTTGGTTTGTAAGTTACATCGTTTTCTCTATGGTCTCAAACAATCTCCACGTGTTTGGTTTGGAAAGTTTAGTCACATTGTTCAAAGTTTTGGATTAAAACGAAGTGAAGCAGATCATTCTGTTTTTTATTATATTGCTTCAGGAAAATGTGTTTATTTAATTGTATATGTAGATGATATAGTCATTACAGGGGACGATGTTGATAAAATTTCTTTGCTAAAGAAACATTTATGCAATCACTTCCAAACTAAGGATCTTGGTTGTCTCAAATATTTTCTAGGGATTGAAGTGACTCAATCAAAAGAAGGCATCTAGTCTCCCAAAGAAAGTATGTTTTAGATCCTGAAAGAAACAAACATGATTGATTGTAGACCAGTAAACAACCCTATGGATTTAAATCAGAAATTAATGGCGGATCAAGGTGAACCGCTCTCTGATCCTGAGAGATATAGAAGACTTGTTGGGAAACTCATTTATCTTACCATTACCAGACCTGACCTATCTTTTGTTGTTGGAGTTGAGTCAATTTATGCAAAATTCGCGTACTGATCATTGGAATGTTTTCGTTCACATCCTAAAATATCTCAAAAAAGCTCCAGGACAAGGTCTGTTGTATGAAGATAAAGGGGGTACCCAAATATCTGAGTATTGTGATGCTGATTGGGCTGGATCCCCTATGGACAAACGCTTCACTACAGGATATTGTGTTCTCATTGGAGGCAATATTATTTCTTGGAAAAGTAAGAAACAAAATGTAGTGGTCCGGTCTAGTGCTGAAGCTGAATATAGAGCAATGACATCTCTCACTTGTGAACTAGTGTGGGTGAAACAATTCCTTCAAGAACTGAAATTTTGTGAGATCCAACAGATGAAGATGTATTGTGACAATCAAGCAGCTCTCCACATTGCCTCTAATCCGGTGTTCCATGAAAGGACCAAATATTTAGAACTTGATTGTCATTTTATTCGTGAAAAATTGTTGTCTAAAGAAATTTGCATTGAATTTGTCGGGTCGAATGATCAACTTGCAGATGTGTTGACAAAGTCTTTAAGAGGACCTCGAATTGAATTTATTTGTTCCAAGCTTGGCACATACAATTTGTATGCTCCAGCTTGAGGGGGAGTGTTAGAATTATTATTAGTTAGTGGTTAGTGGTTAGTGGTTAGTAGTTAATAGTTGGTAGTTGGTGGTTATTAGTAGTTGGTGGTTGTTTTTTTAAATGTTGTAATCCTATATATATATATATATATGAGATCATAGAGTGGAGTAATGCATCCCACAAAATTAGAAATCTTCTTTTCACTCTCTTAACTATTGCATTGATGTTTTGTTATTTTTAATCTTTCTTATATATATGTATATATATAAATGTTGTTTATATGTATATAAATCGTGGATTCCTCATTCTTACTTTGCACTATTAGTAAAGGATTATCCTATTAAAAACTCAAATATTTACCTATCGACTTGAATATAAGACACGATCTTGACCATAGTATATTGGTCACCCATGTTGTCCACCAATGTATATGACATAGTCACTCAACCATAATTTATTGGTCATCCTCACTATAAATCAATATATACGACATGGTCTCAACCATAGTTTATTAGTCATATTCATTGTTTTGACATAATCTCAACGGTAGTTTATTGGTCACCCCACTATCCATCAATATATATGACACATTCTTGATCATGGTCTATTGGTTTTAATGCAATTTCGACCATAGTTTATTTGTTCGGACATGGTCTAGATCGTAGTTTATTGGTCACTCCCATTGTCTATCAACATATATGACAAAGTCTTGACTGTAGTTTATTGGTCACCCCTACTAACCATCAATGTATATGTCAAGGTCTTGAATATAGTTTATTGGTCATCCTCATTGTCTTGACACGACCTTGATCATATTTTATTGGTATTAGTCACCTCTGTTGTCCATCATTATATATGACAATGTCTCTTGACCATAGTTTATTGTCATTCCCGTTGTCTTAATGCAATCTTGACCACACTTTATGGATCATCATTGCCCTAAAAACTTGTGACAATATACCTTATTTTAAAATAACTTAGTATTTTAATGTTTACAATCATGATACATCACCATCATGTATTTTTATCTTGAGACTAAGTGATTATATACCATCTAGTGAAGTGTGGACCAAATTTGGTATGATGTGTTTGACCTAACACTTTAGTTTCTTCACTAAAACGCTCGAAATTGGAAGGTTGTATACCATCTGGTCTCCATTCGACCTAGGAGAAATATCGACCTTATCTATATGGTTCCATTAATGTCGTCCTGATTCCTACCTTTATTATTAAGAGCGACATGTTTGATTGGAACGGTTTTGGTTGTTATACCATCATAGGAAATATATTGATTCCAGACAGGGGAATTATTCCAAACCAATCTCCATAACATTATACAAGTTTTATCGGTCTCCTCCATACTATCATATGAATAGGTCTTAGATGCAACTAAACAAAGCAACACACATTGAATATTCTAGCTTGGGTCTTAGGGATCTTCTTTGAAGCTTTTTGCCACAACAGTTTACAAGGACAAGCACTTTTTGGGGAAGGGAAATCATTAGTCTATAAATTTACACATATGCTAACAATTAGGACTTGTCAATTTATAGTTGTCAGAAATAATAAGAATCAGAGTGAAGTACGTGCAATGTTTAATGAGTAACTTCAACATCTACATAAATTTGTTTTTATCTCTGTTGCAATTCTAAACAACCAATCTCCTTTCCTCTAATTAAATGAGAGAGGCATGCAATAATATCTATTTAAGGATCTACAGTGGCTTCAGAATTTTGGAGTCCCTAACAAAACATTAATGGCAGGTTCTTTAAACTGTCTTGGGTTAGTCATATTATGCAAAATGATTACACACATACCTAAATGCTATTTGTCATATCTGTAATACAAAAAACTATTTTTTCATTTGTATCTTTTGTATATATTTATGCTAAATATCATGGGTTCTGTTTCTGGACTTGCAGTATTCTAGTTGAGCATTTCCATTAAATTATATTGTGTTTCTTATCCAGAAAAGTGGAACAAATTGCTGAAGAGGCTGAATCTCTTAGAGCAAGTTTGGATAAGTATAACTTACGGAATCTAAAAAGGTTGAGAGAAGCTAATGAGAGAGCAGAACTGTTGGGACGAGCTGTATGTTGTTGCTACCATGCTCTAGTCTAATGACTTTTTCATTTTTATTATTATTGATAGTAACAACTATATTTCAAATTGTTAGAATGGTGATTCTGCTCATGTTTTGAGAATTTTTGATGAAGAGGGACAAGCATTACAGTCAGTACGCAGTTCTTCCCGGGAACTAGAAAATGCAAATGCAATTGGGGAGGCCATCCTTTCTTCTATACATGGCCAAAGAGAACGCTTGAAGGTAATTTCATTTATGTTTAATAACATAATAGCTGCATGGAAGGATAAGAGGATATGACAACATTTATATGCTTAAGTTTAGGTTTCCTAGAATAATCTTTGTGATTATTGCTGACATATTAGAAATTATGTCTGTTTTGGGCTAAAAATGTAGTTTCTCTACCAAACAAATTTAGATGGTAATTGCTTAAATGGCTGCAGTCCAGCAGGCAGCCGGTCATTACTTATATTATTGTTGAGACTTGTTTTATTGTCTATTATTACTTATTCTCTTTGTATGTTCCTTAGTCTAGGTTAAGGGTTTAGGCTTGTTGAGACATGTTGTTTTTCTATCTTTTTGTCTTAGTTGTGTATGTTCCTTAGACTAGGGTTAAGGATTTGGGCTGAGACCCATATCTTCTATGTTGTATCTCCTTTATTTATAAATACAATGTAACAATGTCCTTAGACATTGTGTTGAAATTCTAAATAAGTTTCTCAAGTTGGTATTAGAGCGGGTATGATCCTGCACTGATTTTTGGTCATCCTTGTCTTCTCCGACCACTTTGGGCTACCGTTCGCCGTTGGCCACCGTCTCAGTTTGGTCCGGTGAAGGTAGGGTTTGGTGCGCCTTGAAGAGCACGACCCACCCCTGCCAATCACTCCTCCATCTGTGGCCCCACGAGCTGTCACGCACAACTTTTCTAGGCGGAGCTCCCAAGCGCGTGTGTTCCACGTGCCACCCTCCAGTGGCCGGAATCAAGGTTGATTACCACTGGTCGACTCGTCGGTGCCCTCCGAGTCCAGTGGTGCCCTTATTTTTTTTATTTTGAGAACTTTGGGAGCTAGGTCACGTGCGTACCCTATTGGTTAGGTTTATCTTTCATCTCTATTTCAGATAAATGGCTTTATCTACCACCATAACTAGTGCCAAACTCAATTGGAAAAATTATCTATCCTGCTTTGCATAAGTTGAACTATGATTTCTAGGTCAAGGGGTATCATGACCATCTGGAGAAAGATGTGAACTCTGTTTCTGCCTCAGAGAGATCTTAGTGGGAGAAAATAGACTTCCAGCTTTGTGCAATCTTATGACAATTTGTGGAACCTGAGGTTTTTGAGTTTCTCATGTCATTCAAAACCTGCTCTTCCTTTTGGAAAAAAAGCTGAAGACATTTTTGCTAGTGATATTCAACGCCTCTTTGATGCAACTCAAAGAGTGAGACAAATCATGACATGATGTCTCACATTGCAAAAGCTAGGGTTACTTTGGAGGAATTAAAAAGGTTAATTGTGGCAAATACTTTAGAGGAGTTAAACTCTAAACTGGATAAGTTGTATATGGTCCTAATTTTGAGGAGTTTGCACTTTGATTTTGATCATGTACGTGATCAAATCTTAGCTGGTGATCAGGTACCGTCAATGGATAATTTTGTCACGAGGCTGATTTGGGTTTCCAATCTTATGATAGATGAGAATCAGGTGGAGACACTTGAAACTTCAGCTATGGTTGCTCCTCGTGGTCGAGGAGGACGACGTAACAGTCGAGGAGGACGTGAGAGTATAAAAAGTCATCTTCAATGTTCCTATTGCAAGAAGATGGGGCACACACAAGAAAACTACTATTCCTTACACGATTTTCTTGATAAGAATACCACTGACCATGTTTTTAAGTCTGAAAAACTGGATATGAAAATCTCTGATAAGGAGTATCAAGAGTTTTTGAAGTTCAAATCAAGAAAATTTAACAGTCAGGGTCAATCTTCTTCCATGCCTAGTGTTTCCTCAATCCGTGGAAGGTCAAAAACCCATGGATTCTTGATTTAGGTGCCTTTGATCATATATCTGGTAACAATTCCTTATCTTCCTCCATGTCCTATCCTAAAATTCCTCATTTTATTACTGTGGCTAATGGATCTAAAGTAAAGTCACAACGAATTGGTCATGTTCCTTTAACCCCTTCTTTGAATTTAAATCCTGTTCTTTTCATTCCTAATTTCCTTTATAACTTGATTTTTCTAAGTCAATTGACTCGTTCTCAGAATTGTTCTATAGCCTTTAATTCCAATTCTTTTGTTATTCAGGAACATGGTACGGGTTGTCTGATTGGAGAAAGACATGAATCACGTCGTTTGTACTATCTAAATCCAAGTCCTTTGGTGTCATGTCTTGCTTCTTCTGCTCCTAAACTTTTGCATGATCGTCTGGGTCACCAAGTTTACCCAAGTTAGTTGAAAGTGATGACTCCTAATCTCAAATATCTTTGGGGTTTAGAATGTGAATCTTACCAATTAGGAAAACATGTTAGGTCTACCTTTCCTAAACACTCTAAAACTCAATGTATTTTCCTTTTTCAAATATTCATTCTAATGTTTGGGGACTAAGTCGTGTCTCCATTTGGCTTCTGCTATTTTGTAACCTTTATTGATGAATTTTTCAGATGTACTTCAGTTTATTTAATGAAAGATAGTTCTGAAATTTTGTCCATTTTTGTGTCATTCAATGAAATTAAAAATCAATTTGGAAAGATAATTAAAGTTCTCAAAAGTAATAATGCCAAAGAATATTTTTCAGTCCCCTTCTCTTCTTTTTTATCTTCCCAGGGCATTTTCCATCAATCAACTTACCCTCACACTCCACAGCAAAATGGTATTGCAGAAAGGAAAAATAGGCATCTTATTGAGACTACACACTCTCTAATGTAGAATACCAATGTTTCTATTCATCATTGGGGAGATCCAATTCTCACTGCTTGTTTTTTGATCAATCGCATGTCATCTTTTTCTCTTCAAAATCAAAATCAAATTCGTCATTCCCTTATTTTTTCAAATGATCCTTTTTATCATGTGTCTCCTCATGTATTTGGTTGTACCTAATTTGTACATAATGTCTCTTCAGGTCTTGATAAGTTAAGTGCTAAAGTCATTAAATGTATCTTCTTGGGGTACTCTCGCCTCCAAAACGGGTACAAATGTTATTCTCCATCCACCAAAAGGTATTACATGTCTGCTGATGTCACCTTCTTTAAAGAAACACCCTTCTTTTCTTCCCCCATGGAGCATGGTTCCTCTATGCAAAATGTTCTTCCTATATCCTCATGTGATCCACTTATAATACCTAATCCTTCACCAATTCAACGTACAAGTTTCAATGATTTTCCTCCTCTTCTTACATGTTACTGTAGGACCCTGCCTACACCTTTACTAGATTTTGCAGATAATCGTGATTCAGAACCTTCTCCATCTGCTTTTCATACCATGGATCCTTCGACCTCCCTAACACTTCTGATTCTGGATAGTCTATTCACTCAAAAAAGGTATTCGTTCCTTTTAGAATCCCTTTCCTACCTATAATTTTTAAGTTACCATCGTTTGCCTCTTTCCTATTTCTCTTTTGTTGTCTTTTTGGCTGACACCATTATTTCTAGTATTGTCCATGAGGCTCTTGATCACCATGAATGACGACAAGCCATAATTGATGAAATGCATGCTTTTAAGTACAATGACATTTCGGAGCTTGTCCCTCTTCCTCTTGGCAAAAAGGTTGTGGGCTATAGGTGGGTCTATGCAGTTAAAGTTGATAAAATGATAAAGTGGATCGTCTTAAAGTTCGTCTAGTAGCTAAAGGCTACACTCAAATGTATGGCCTCGATTACTATAATACCTTCTCTCCAGTAGCTAAGATTTTCACTTTTTGTTTTTTCCTTGTTATGGTTGCTATTTATCATTGGTCCCTTCACCAACTGGACATTAAAAATGACTTTCTTCATGGTGACCTTGAGAAAAAGATTTATATGGAGCAACCTCCTAGCTTTGTTGCTCAAGGGGAGTCTGGTTTAGTGTGTAAGCTACACCGGTCTCTTTATGGCTTGAAGTAGCCACCCCGAGCTTGATTTGGAAATTCAGTCATGTTGTACCATTGTTTGGCTTGAAAAGGAGTGAAGCATATCACTTAGTGATTTATTGTCATTCCTCTTCAGGCAAGTGTGTATTTTATGGTTTATGTTGATGATATTGTTATTACAGACATTGATTATACTAAGATCAGCCAACTGAAGAATCATCTATTTGGTCACTTCCAAACCAAAGATTTTGGTCAATTGAAGTATTTTCTTGGTATTGAAAAGGGCTTAGTCAAAGGAAGGTGTGATCATTTCTCAAAGGAAATATGTTCTTGATATTTTGAAAGAGATAGGTTTAACAAATTGTAAACCCATTGATACCCCAATGGACCCTAATCAGAAATTGGTGGAAGATAAAGGAGAAAAGTTGTCAAATCCAGAAAGATATTGGAGGTTGGTTGGTAAACTCATTTATCTTACTATTATCTGACCTGATCTTTCTTATGTAGTTGGAGTAGTTAGTCAATTTATGCGAAATCCTTGTATTGATCATTGGGATGCCTTGATTCGCATTCTGAGATATGTTAAAGGGTCCCAAGACAAAGATTGTTATATAAAAATAAAGGTAATACTCAAATTTTAGGTTATTATGATGTAGATTGGGCTGGTTGTCCCATCAATAGAAAATCTACTACTGGTATTGTATCTTTATTGGAGAGAATTTGATTTCTCGAAAGAGTAAAAACAAAGTGTTGTTGCTCGATCTAGTGTAAAAACTAAGTATAGATATATGACACTTACTACATGTGAACTTGTATGGATCGAATAACTCCTTCAAGAATTAAAATTATGTGATGATGAGCAGATGAAGTTGTTTTATGATAATTAGGCAGCTCTCCATATTGCCTCCAACCCAGTCTTTCATGAAAGAACAAAATATATTGAGATTGATTGTCACTTTGTTAAAGAAAAGTTAGTGTATAAAGAACTTGTAACTGAATTTGTAAGCTCCAATAAGCAACTGACAAACATTTTAACTAAATCCTTGAGAGGTCCAAGGATTTAGTTCATTTGTTCCAAGCTTGGTGCATACAATCTATATGCTCCAGCTTGAGGGGGAGTATTGAGACATGTTTTTCTATCTTTTTATATTCTTTGTGTATGTTTCTTAGACTAGGGTTAAGAGTTTGGGATAAGACTCATCCTTTCTGTTGTATCTCCTTTATTTATAAATACAATGTAGCAGTGCCTTTAGACACTGTATTGAAACC